AGTTTTTATTCACAATTTGTTTAGTGTCCCAACTTTTTTGGAATCCGGTTTGTAGCTGTGAGTGAATTTAGAATTTGCCTGACAGACGACAACAAGAGTGTCATAAAGTCAAATATTTGTAGTCCATCTATCAGATCTTTGACCACTTTTATCTCCACGCTTGTCTTTGAATTCTTCTAGGCAAGTGAGTCATGTCTGCTGGCAGCATCGACAGTCTGAGACGCAGCTCAAGCCCCTGGAGGCAAAGCCAAGAGTCATTTCATGAGGAGCACTGTATGGACATGCAACCTGTTCCGGAGCCAAAGCTGGTTCACAAATCCCTCCTTAACGATGCTAACGGGAAGGAGTCCGAAACCATCAGCTTCATTCCTGGTTCAGCCAAGCCTTCGAATGAATCACAAACCTGCAATCCCTGCTTTCCTCAGAGGAGCTGTAAGAGTTTAGTGTGCAGCGTGATCACCTGTGGCCTGTACAGGGTGTGCCAACGCTCGATCTTCACACCGTGTTTGGCACCAAACGAGAAACTCCCGGATGAACCGGAGAAGGTGAACCTCCGAGCTGTCAATTCTGGAGACACCAAAGAAGTGGTTGACACAGACTGGTCTGATTTTCGCATCAACGGAGTCAAAGTGACCAGTCCAAAAAAATATTTAGACATTGACACGAGTTTGCCAACATACGCACCTTCATCTGGTGTTCAAACCCAGCCAGGATCTTTGTTGCCTGAGTCCATGAGGTTCGAGGACTGGGAAGATGGTGACGGAGACGTGGACTCCCTGATCACCAAGAAGCTGCTGGAGCTCTACTCTGAGTATCAGATTGAAGAGCTGGCTCGGTGCACCTCGGACTCCCTGTTTGTGAGAAAGAGCAAGGCCATCACCCAGCTAATCAACTCCTTGGCAGAGGAACACAAAATGAACGAGCAGGAAGCTGAGTGCCGGCTGGTGCGGGGCATCATCCGGATCAGCACCCGTAAAAACAAGAAGAGGCCTCCCTCTTCCCGGGTTGAAAAGATGCTGTCGGACAGCGGGAATGAGACGATGACTGCGAGCGCATCCTTTCCTGAAAGCAAGAACAGTGAGTAGAGAATGGTTTCACTCCTTTGTTGTTAATGGCTCAATGAAAATGTTATCTTGCCATTAAATAAAAAGCCCTCTGTTCCTTTTCTTTAGATAACAGGTCTGATCCTGATTTCCAAATATCTGATTTGACTTCGTCCGACAAGTTTGCTAGAGAAATATGGAGAAACAACGGAGGTAAAAAAAAAAACTTTTTTCAGTGTTAACCAGTCATCGCATACACAAACGCATTATGTGTAAAAGTATGTGTAATTCTTTGCTAAAGCACATTTTTTTTATTCCCCATCTATCTGTCCGTCCGTGCATGTGAGCATAACTTGAAAAGCAGGTTCCAGCACCAACTTCCATTTTGGTGTGTGTCTGCTTCTAGATGGAAAAAAGTCACTATTAAAAATTGGGTGCTAAAGTGTCAAAAAGTCATTATAAATTTAGGGATGCACCGATCCACATTGTTTTTTATTTCCGATGCAATCCCGATACCTAAATCTGGATATCGGCCGATACCAATACTATTCCAATATCATCATCATTATGGATTTTATAAGAGGCTGTAATAATATCTTCTCTACATGCAAGTACAAGTTGTACAAATATATGCATACATGTCTAAAAAGGCAACTTGAGGTAAGTTTTATTAACGTTGGCTAAGTTTCAAAATTAGAATTAAATCCTGCTAATACAAAACGTTTTTTATTCCTAGCTTTAAAGTCAGAGTCAGTCAGAGTCAGCGAGTTTTATTTGTCATACACACCACATGTTGTACATGTGGTGGAACGAGATTATGATACACAGGGTCCCAGTTACATCCCACAATAAAATGTTCGGTTGTTTTCACACCAGATAGTCCGGTAGACTCGGTTCGGTTGGGGACCAATATTCATGACCTTTTGTTACATTTGAGCTGGTGCGTTTGCATTCACACTGCACTGTGCAGTCGAGCCAACCTGTTGAACCAACCTGTTTCCCCTGCTCGCCTGTGGGGGCGCTGCACCAAGAACTACTGAAAGAAACAACACAAAAACCTCTGAAGACACGTCGTCTTCTTCTGATGAAAATAAAAACAAAAATGGAGTGGCATCAAGCTTTAGCAGTTTTAGGAGTTATATTTTGTCATTTTTCAAAAATGGACTCAGCATGAGTGGAAGATGAGGCAGAAGACCATGGAGAATATTGTTTTTCACACAAGGCAGCTGACGGCTCCATAAAAGGTCAGAGAAATGCGTGTTTGTTTGCCCTGCGCTGTACTCCACTTCTTGCTTGTGGAGCGGGGCTTGGTCTGTTTACATTCACACTGTACTCGAACCGCGCTGGAGTTCTCTTCTACTGGACCGAGACCTAGGTTTTAGCCCGGGCCAGAGTTCGCCTTTTTGTTCTTTGACAGAGTTCGATGGTGCGTTCACACCTCCCCAAAAGAACAGGACTTTCTAGGAAAACGAGCTAGAGTTCGATTAAAGCGGACTTAACAGGGCCGGTGTGAATGCACCCTTAAAGAAAAACCGCAAAAAGATCTAAGATATGAGCTAAGAAAAACATCAACACTATAGATACACCAAGCACTAATAACATAAAAACAATACGCCGAAGTGGATATTAAAGTGATTAAATGTCTTCAAACATCTGCTAAGTTCATGGCAAAAACCACCACAGACATTTTCCTGTTTTTAGTATTTTACATCGCTTTATAATGTAGCTGTTCTTGTTTTATTTTTAAAAATATGATTTTCTTTTATTTTTCAAATCATTTGTTTTTTTATGATTGTCTACTGTTGTACTGATAAATATCTCCAGGAGGGTGTTGAGGGGTTCTTCCCTCCGCATGTTCGTAGACCGAACCAGGCAACTCACAGGAGACCTCACCTTAGTTTAAGAGAGTTTTAATACACACCACAGTTAAAGTATTACAAAAACAACGTTCTGAAATGCATTTCAGGAGACAATAGCAGCGTACTTCACCCGAGAAGTTGCTCAGCTCAAGATTGTCTGATGCCACTTCCTGTTGTAGGATAATATAAGCTTTTCATGAACCCGCCTCCCTCTCGGAGGGGGTTCTTCTCCTATTAGCTGACCACCTAATTAATCTATGGTTATCGTGGCAACCACACTGTCATATTTCTTATCTTTCAAGTAAAAACTAGTTTTAACTGGCTTTTGGTGCCAGTCTCGAAAAATACTTTTGTTCTTTGCTTCTGTCTACAGAAAAACAAGTTAGTCTGCCCCTCCTTCAATTCAATTCAATTCAAAAATACTTTATTAATCCCAGAGGGAAATTATTTGTTGTTGTAACTCGTTATCCTCATTTCATTAAGAGATGTTACAAATACTGATGGCTGTAGGCAGGAAGGATCTCTTGTAAAGGTCCATCCCACAGTGGATCCTAAGAAACTGGCTGCAGATGCCATCCGATCCGTCCACCCAGACTCGGCAGGCCTCTCGGTTCCCCCAGGCTGTAGGACCACCCGAATGCCGGGCAGAACTCCTCCTAGAGCGATGGTCACTTCTCCCAGCAGTCTGCCGAGCTCCTCGTCGCTGCGGACAGCCAACTGTAGGTGCTGAGGGACGATCCTGTCCTTCCGCTGTTATGAGTCGTGTTTCCTTCTAGTTCCAGGATCTCAGTGGTCAGACACTCAAGCACAGGTAGATGAAAATGTGTCCACAGAACATCCTTTTCAACTCATTTGAGATTTGTGGCTAGTTGAGATATTATTTGAGCTTTTGAGATGTTAATCAGCTGTTGGTTCTAGAAAACTGCCTTGTTGCCATGGTTACGCATCATAACAAATGTCCAAAACTAAAAAAGTTTCAGTAAAAATCATTCCAGCTGCACAGCATCCGACACCAGAAGAACCAACCATCCAAAAAAAAAAAGTGATTTACATCCAGAAAACGAGGAATTAATGTTTCCAAAAGCAAAACCTCAAATTGAATGTAACAGAGCTGCTCCAACATGCAGCCACCTTGAGCGGCGCAATTCTAGAATATTTATCTAGAATATTCTAGAATTCTTCCTGCTCATTGCTGTATGAAAACAAGTATTCCACCTCTGTGTGATAAAATATAAGTGAAAACAGTTTATAAAACACACAAAAATAGATGTATGATGTGAATAAAGTATAAAATACAAAACTATATATAAAAATGAACACAGTGTACAGAATAAAGTGAACACACAGTGCATAAAATGTCCAGTGAATAACACAACTAGCCAGTCTATTCATCATTCCCACTCTTGGTCTCTTAAAAAAGAGACCAATTTCTAAACTCATCCATTTCTGTTCTAAGTCCACATCTTCAGCTGCCTCAGTTTGAACAGGGTTCTGCAGCAGGGGCATCATGGTTCCTTGATCACTTCTATCAAAGTAAGGTTAATACCTGTGGTTTATACGACAGATCTACGAAAAGAGTAATACTTATGATTTAAAAGGCACATCTATCATAGAAAGGATAATACTTGTTTAAACCCTAGGATGCTGTGTGAATGCTGTTGGAAACCCCCTGGAGCGAACGGTTTGATCATTATTTAGGAGGAAAAGACAGCATCACCTCATACCCCATGACGATGACCTTAACGATCCACTCACTATCCTTCACAGACTAACTCAAATGTAAGTTAAGTCCTGTCTAAACTCCCTAACAAAAACATCCTACATGAACACAGACAATACTGCACATCCCCACTTACAAAAAAGTCCACTCAGCCAACCATCCAGGGGTTGTTTTCACCTGGGTGTTCCTGCATTGTTTTAGACTAAGCATTCAGGCCTTCGATTGCCTGAGTAATGGGCACCATTATTTCCCAAACCTAGCACACATGCCCCCTTTTGTAGTCATAAGGGAAGTGGGTGCAAATTTTTCAGCCAATCTTTCTACAGTAACTCGAGTCAAATTAATCTGTCGCAACACATAATGGATGTAATGAATTCTACATTTTTATTAGGGATGATGGGAAGCTCTCAAATCCGGCAGCCACCCAATCAGCTAGCTTATATTAATCTGGAATTCTTCTAGGGACTCCAATCACCTCCATAAAAGTAGAACCGTTTGCAGGCAGGTTCAATTCCAAATTTATGCTATGGCACACTAAAATGTTCACATCTTTCACCTGGGTGTATATTGTTCGGTCCATGTGACAGATTGTGTGTTCAAAAAGTCTTTTAGGAGCAAGGGGAGCTACTGAGCTGGTGAGTGGCTAAGTGGAGTTTGCATTGTCCTGAAACGCACCAAACAGTTCATACAAGAAAATAACACCAAGAAAATAACACCACACATTATCCCTGTTAAAATCCCCCAAACCAGGGTCACTTTCCAGGGGTTTTGTAACAAACCCATGGTATTTGAAAATAGTAGACTGTTTAAACTATATTAGTTCTGGGCCATTTTAATAAAACTATGTACTCTGTTCTCCCAAAATGACCAAATAAAAAACAACCACAATCAATTTTCAACCCTTTCCCTCGGCGTTTCGGCGCTTCGATGAGTTGAGAGGCCCTCCCAGTTGAGGGGACGTTTGTTGCTCAGGGGTGATGAAATTTCTAGAACCACAGAGATTTCTTCATGTGTGTGAGAGTCTCTATAACTATATGTTTTAACTTTTTTAGTGACGTGTGTGCACTGGAGAGCCCTAAGTCAGTGGGTCCATCTTCTCGCTTTTCTTGGGGGAATAAGTTTAGTTCAGTTTTTTTTTTTTTTTTTAATATGAGTGTGTGTCAGGGCTTGGAGACTCCGTTCTCCTTTTCTTGTCTCTGACTGTTCTGTGTCAGGCCACTTGCCATGACAGAGCAGGGTAGAAGGGGGTGTATTGGTGCTTTCTGGGGGTGAGGGCTTTATGGGCTTATCGAGTCACTGGTCTCGATACAGTGGGGGCAGTCAGGTCATTCGTCCTGACAAAGTGGGGACTTTCATCAACCAGATCGATCCCAACTTGGTCCAGTGATTGGTTCGGCTCTTCCGCTGGCATGCGATGTTCTCTCAACCACCTGATGAGGTCCGGTCCACCTCGGTTCAGCCCTGTAGGTGCCTGTCCACCTCGGCCCCTTCCTCTTCCTTGTAATGACTTTCAGCAGGACCCAATCTGCTGTGTGTGACCTCCCAGATTCTTCTCTCTCCTTCTGTATTCCTCCGTGACTTCTCTGCCTCCTGAAACATTTACATTCAACTTTTCCTTTCATCCCCAGAATCCT